CCCGCCTCCCTCCGCTCGCACAGCCGAACCTGCCGGCAGCGACACCTGACAGCGAACCAATCAGAGCGCGACTGGTTTGCGGAGCTACCAATCAGCGGAGGGCGCGCACCGAGCAACACAGTCAGGCTGCGTTGGCCGGCGTTCCTGCGCGCGCGCGCGCGCACCCGCGCGCGGAGGAAGGGAACTCCTAGTGGTTCTGAGCGGGAATGCAACCTGATGCTGTGCTCGGGCCTCGGATTTCTGAACTGCGTCGAGACAATCCAGATGCGTGGTCTAGACAGATACATTCCAGTGAGACCAATGGCGAGGAAAAAGCGAGTTCCAGAGGAGGAGGCAGGGTTTGTACCACTGCAACCTCCTGGAGGGCAAACCTAGGTCTTTTGTATGACAAATAAGAGGGTGAGATAAACGTTTATTGGTTAGAGATCCAATAAACGTTTATTGGCTAGAGATAAGCAGAAAATACAAGATACAAAGAGGACTTTGAAAGAAGGTGAATATGGTCGAAATAGGGTGCATGCAACTATGAAAATAAAAGCGATGAAACTTGTTGAAATTGGAGGGGAATGGGAAGTGATAGAGAAAGGGGAGTTGATGGGAATACATACAGTGTAGAAATAAATGTTAATAATGAAATCCCTCTTTATATAACCAAAGTAAGCTAGTAATGCTTTAAAAAAAAAGATATTAAAAAAAAAACAGAGGTAGAAGGAAGTAGATGAAAAAAGCATAAAGGAAGCCAGGCTCTGGTGGCTCACTCCTATAATCCTAGCTACTCAAGAGGCTGAGATCTGAGGATCAGGGTTCATAGCCAGCCTGGGCAGGAGAGTCTGTGAGACTCTTATCACCAATAAACCAATAAACCACCAGAAAACTGGAATTGTCTCAAAGTGGTAGAGCACTAGCCTTGAGCAAAAGAGCTCAAGGATAGTGCCCAGGCTCTGAGTTCAAGCCCAATAACTGACCAAAAAAAAAAAAAAAGTTAAAGGGAAGATCTGATAAACTGTATTGTGAGGAAAATAGATGGACAAAGAAGATTAGACAAGATTTTTCCCCCTTTTTGTTCGAACTTCTGGCCTCATGCTTCCTAAGCAGGCACTCAACAATTTGAGCTATCCCCTCACAGCCCAGACTGGGCAAGTTAACGCCTATCTCCATACTCTGCTTCTTCTCCATCCTCTAGACTTGGAAGCTGCGAAGCTGTTTTTGAACCTTGCACTTACCTTTAATAGTTGTACAGCTTTATGAATGAGCCTCCATTTTTCTCATCTATTAGAGTGAAATTAATTTGTAAGGTACTGTGTTAGCTTTTTTTGTCACTGTGAAACAAATACCTCTGAGAAGAGCAACTTAAAGGAGGGAAGATTTATTTTGGTTTACAGTTTCAGAGTTTTTAGTCTATACTCCCTAAGCTCCATTGCTTTAGGCCTGAAATAAGGCAGAACATTATCATGGTATCAGAATTATGATACAGCAAAGCAGTTCATTCATGATAAACAGGAAACAAAGAGAAAGGAAGGGGCAAGGGGCAAGATACATCAGGGACAGTGCCTAGGCTTCAGGACCAGCTCAATTAATTAAATATTAAATACTATTAGCAATACTAAATTCTATCAAATAAAGTAGAATAAGCTGGGCATTGGTGGTTCATGCCTGTAATCCTAGCTACTCAGGAGGCCAAGATCTGAGCATCATGGTTTGAAACCAGCCCAGGCAGAAAAGTCCCAATGAAACTCATCTCCAATTAACTGCTCAAAAACTGGAAGTGGTGCTGTGGCTCTTATGGTAGAACACTAGTCTTGAGCACAAAAAGGCTCAGAGATAGCGTCCAGGCCCTGAGTTCAAGCCTCACGACTGATTAAATAAATAAATAAATATTAATTATACTTCCCCTATACTGTAGGATAACGTTTTAAATGAGTATTAATATATGCCTATCAGAGGTCCACAGTAAGGCTCACAGTTATTATTCAAATGTGAGCAGCTCCTCTCCAAATTTGAGTAATTTCTCTACTCTTCTGGCTGGCTTATTTCTCTTGTAATTCCCTCTTTCCACCCCCAGCCCCAATCGCCTTAGTACACCGTCAGTCAAATAACAGCCCTGCTGTTCTGGAAGATTATCTCCCTCTCTTACCTGGCTAAATATACATCATTCCTAGCAATTATATTTCCTTACTCATCGCTACTCTTTAACGTAAGTAATGAGCACTCATAGCACAGGTAACATTTTTTTTCTCTCCAAGGATGACCACACTCCAACTGCAGAAGTCTACCTCTTCTAAGATAACTGATGTCTTATCAGGAGGAAGAGCTAAGTGAGATACACCCAAAAGAGAGAGTGATCACTTCTATGGATACCCACAAATGGGCCAGTTGAGGAAAAGCACATGAAGGAGGCCTGAAGTGAATGAGGAGAGTAAGAGTTTGGGGGAGTCATCCCTAGGGCCTGAAGACAATATGAAGGGAAGTTCTCTTTCCCAAATATTCTCTCTCATAGGCACACTTATTTGGAGAACTGAGGGAAGAGAGCAAAGTCAATGTTCACGCCATCTTAACTGACACTCCACACAAAAGCTCCACATTCCTATTTCAAGTCGGTCTTTGCTCTTTCTGCTAAGACAAAAGTCACACTCATGTTACCTTTGGAGCTGTGGAAACAGCCCTCTCAAATGTGAATATGCTTAGAGAGGAAGGAAGAGAAGGGACCTGGAAGAAAGCAGCTTCTCTGATGACCTTATGCCCTTGGACTCCACTTGCCTTTATACTCTGGATTAAACAGCATTAAGCAGGCCAGAGAGGAAACCCACGTGGAGCCTGGAGACCTGTGCCTGCTTGTTCAGTTCCACACCCAGTCATCTCACCACACCCTTCTCCAGTCTTTATATTCCCTTCAGTCCAGGAACTTGGGGCTACCGTGAAGAGAGAGAAGGAAGAGGAAACATAATTCCCTGCCCAACCCCAGCCCTACACCCTGAGCAATCCACAGGTAGGCAAGGAGTCCTGGGAAAAGAAAACAGGAAAGAGAGAGGGGGGAAAAAAAGTAAAGGATCAGGGGTGAAGTAGGGGATGGGGAGGAAGCTAAAAGAGGGGGCAAACGGAGTAGGGGACCACTGGAGAGGCGTAAGATATCCTGGGCTGCAGATGGGGTGGAGGGGCACAGAGTTGAATGGGACACACAGTCTAGATTCAGGGGATCCTTTCTCAACCTGGTTAGGAGAGCTCCAGGGAATCGGGGAGGCACCTTGGTCTTTCTTCTTCTTCCTGGTTCTTAGGGAAAGGTGACCTTGAAGCCGCGGGTGTCTTTGTGACTGGCTTGCCTTTTTAATCCTGCTCTGAGCTTCCCAGGTCTTCCTGGGTGTATCTTCTGTTTATTTCGCTGTTTCCCTCGGAGGCCTCCTCCCCTGGGGGGGGGGGCAAGGGAGGCGGGGGGAGAAAGATGGGGAGGTGGCTGTTGTCAGACGAAGAGCCAAGGTGGGGCAAAGTCACCCACTCTGGCTCAGGTTTCGGATTAAAAGGAAAGTGGAGGAGGGGGGGAGGGGAAGGGAGGGGGGAGGGTGCTCGCCGGTGGGTGCTGTCCTCCACTTGGTGCTGAAATCTGGAAGGCCTCGCATCCCCGGTGGGCCTCCCACACCCCCTCCCCTCACCCCCACCCCCTCAGCGTCTCAG